CAGGTCGGCACAGGTCGGGAGCTGGACCGCAACTTCTTGCACAGCTCAACCTCATGCCGAACAACATCATGCACGTGCGCCGACGGGCCCTGGGCCGTCGGGACCACCGTGGGCGGCGCAAGGTCACGGTGCCTAGTGGTGCGGTGGAGGACGCGTGGACCGCTGGAGACCGCCATCGCACGCCGCTCCTTCCACTTCTGGTGATCCTCCTTGGACGCGCCACTGGCCGCGAGCTTGATATCAGGCTCACTGTCGCCAAGGAACGCGCGGCAGGCCTCCTCGTCGAACTCGCCCTGCACGAGCACTTGCGCCTGCTGGGCGGAGCGCTCCAGGCGCGTGGACAGGCCCTGCCCGCGGAAGACCGCCGCAGTGAAATTGAAGACCTCCTCGGCGACCATCGCAAGGTCCCGCGCGGACAGGCTGGCCAGCCTCTCGAGACCCATGATGCTGATGGGGGGAACTCTGCAACCGCTGCCAGCCCACAGACACAGCCTGAAGGTCGGGGGCGCCCTTAATCGCGCAGGTGCTGCCAACCCATCGAGGCCGTAGCGGGCGCGCAAAAGCTCGAACATTGCAATCATGGTGCCCGACAGCAGCAGCGATCTCCTCAGCGGCTCGCACGGCGAGATGGCCCCACGCAGCAGAGAGGAGACCCCAGCCAACCTCAGGATGGACCCCCTCGTCCGCACATGCCTGGGCGGCAACTTCAGCAACTCGCCGCGCACTGTCATATGGCGGGGGTGGAGGCTGAGGGCCGATGATAACCAGGGTGCTCATTTTTGGCGCCACCGTGTAGACCAGCCTCTTGACATGCTCGGCATCACCCTTGAGGAGTAAGTGGGCTGGTCGATGGCCGCGCTTGGCCCACTTGACATCAATGCCGACGCTAGCATACATCCTCCTGGCCGCCGAATTGAGGAGGAAATAGTCGATGATGGACTGACCTGGTCCTCCGCGAAACGTAATCGTAGGTGCACTCGCCAGCGCACAACCACCATGGGCAGGAAATCGGCTCGCCTCAAGCTCACCAGGGCACATGTTCCAGTCGCCGCCAACGATGACGGGGCCGTTCAAAGCCTCGGCAACCAGGCCCCACTCCTGCAGTAGTCTGCCGTTCCGCCCGCCAGCACCCTCACCCATGAACAGGTAGACATTGAAGACGCGGAGGCTGGTGGGCAGATCAGGCACATCAATCATAACGTGTTGAACTCGATTTGGCCAGACTTCGTGCAACTCATGGACTGGAGGCCGCGCGCCCAGGCAGTCGCGCACAGCGACGGCCACGCCTGCAGACGGCACCGAGCCCACCGCGGGCAGGCCCGGAAGCGCCAAGAGCCTCCAGCCTCGACCACCACACCAGGAGCTCAGCGCCTCGACATGCTCGCTGATGTGCCCGAACTCCTGCAGAAGCACGACGCTGGCCGCGGTGCTGCCATGGCGCTTCTTGACAGACGCCTTGCCACCGCTCGCATTGTGGGACTCGATGCTGGACTCAGCACCCAGGGCAGGCCACGCCCCAAGCGGCGGCGCACGGCGGGCCCTCAGCAGCACCAGTGCAAACTCCTGGCTGGCACGAGCCCAAGGCAGCAGCAGGGCTACCCCCGCCGCGCGCGCTTGAGCTCCACCTCGGACCACATGGCGTCGAACGCCTGCACGAAATCGTCGATGCTGCCCTCCGTCCGAGCATGGTAGAGTGCCTTCTTTTGCTCTGCAGTCGGGCCAGCTCCCATGGGTACATCACCGTCATCTGCAGCAGCGCCAGCAGCCCCAGCGCCACAGGCACGGGCCGCAGTCTTGCTGGCGACCGCGGCCTTGAGCTTGGCCCAGGCCTCGGACTTGAGAATGGCGACGAGCTCAGGATGGTCGGCCACGTCGTCCTCGGCGAGGTCGATGTCGACAGCGCTGGCGGCGACGCCCTTGGCCGTCTCAGCGAAGGCCGCGTCGAGCGCCGCAACTTCCAACCTCTTGGCTTCGATGGTCTGCTTGCGCAGCTCGATGCTTTTGGATAACTCAACCAACTGACTCTCCTGTTCTGCCAACTCTTTCTCCAACTTCTCGAGGCCGTTCCGCGCACGCTGCAGGTCCTGCTGCGTGCGCCGATGGAGGGCCTGGGGAGACAATAGTGCACGCTTCTCCGCACGCAGTGCCTCCAACTGATTCTCGATCGGACTCCGTAGATCAGTGTTGCGCTCGTCAACGGGCGGGAGCTTCTTGAGGGCCTCCTCAAGCTCCGTGATCCGCTCGGCAAGCTTGGCACTCTGGGATTTCTTGTCGGGATCGGCACTGTTACCTGCAGCAGACTCGTGCCACGGCGCCGTGCCTCCAGGCTTGGGCCACGCGGCAGCGGGCGGCGCCAGGCGCTTCTCGATGGTCTGCATCCACTCGGCAAGCTCCTTGGGCAGACCACTGGGAGCCCCCGCCTGCCTCCTGGGAACCCCTTTCTTGCCACCGCTGCCACTGCCGTCGCTTGCCTCCTTGTGCTTCTGGCGCGCACGAGAGACGATGGCGGCAGGCGCATCGCGACCGCAGGGACACTGGATGCGGCACGCCCAGTTCGCCGCGCGCCCGCATTGCCCGCAGCACCAGTGGGGCTTGCGCGGGCCGCGGAACACAGTGACTGCTGGCGGCTGCGGCACCATGCCTGGGATGAGAGCGACGCGCCAAGGCGGGGCGGACCACCTCGACGCTCGCCCTGGGGCTGACCAGGGGAAGGATTGAACACTGGCCGCGGACTAGCGGTATCCACGTGTTCCCCTGTGGAACAAAGCATATTGAGCCAAAATGGCTACGTATGGGGAGGAGGAGGAGGAGGAGGAGGAGGAGGAGGAGGAGGAGGAGGAGGGGGAGGAGGGGGAGGAGGGGGAGGAGGAGGAGAATAAGGAGAGGAGAGGAGGAGGAGGAGGAGAAAAAGGAGGAGGAGAAAAAGGAGGAGGAGGGGGAGGAGAAGGAGGAGGAGGAGGAGGAGGAGGAGGAGGAGGGGGAGGAAGAGGAGGAGGAGGAGGAGGAGGAGGAGGAGGAGGAGGAGGAGGAGGGCAGCCCAAGGGGGCCCCCGCGCAGAGAGTCTGGCGAGACCCGCCCTCTCCTGCTCATCCTCGCCGTGCTCCCGCCTCCCTGCCCACAGATCCCCGCCCGTGTCCCCTGCCTTGACAGCAAATGATGACGTCCGCTGCCCCCCAAAGAGGACAGAATTCGCCGGCCCAACGGGCCAGAGACGTGCTAAGATCTCCGGTATCTGGCTGACAAGGTATCTGGCTGACAATATTTTTACTTCGCCCGCGCGGAGCGGCCCCTGAGGGCCCCCGGACGAAAAGTACCCCGGCCTGGTCCCGGTCAGGTCCCCAGAACGCTCCAAGGGAGGGCCATGTTTCGACACCCCTCACGAGGATCGTGGCCTCCGAGGGGGGAGCCGCAATCGACTACCCCCCCTCCCGCCCCAAGAAGCCCCGAAGAGCCCCCCAAGAGGCCCTGGGGGGCCCGCCGCCGAGGAGCCCCGAGAGACTCCCAAG